ACGGAAAGAATTAAAATCACATGATCCAAACTAAACCAGCTCCAGAACAGTAAATTGGTTAAGTTTGACTTCACCTTTCAACTTCGAGTTAATTATGTATTAGGGGATTAATTTATTCACAGGCACTGCGAAGGCAAATGGAGAACAGGGGGAACCTGCCAGGGCCTCTCATCCAGGTGCCGAGGTTATTAATTGCTCCGGCTGTGCCAGGGCAGTGCCTGGGCAGAGTGTGGGGCAGGGGCCGCATGGCAACCCCGTGTGCGCCTGGCTCTGTCCTGCAGAGAGTCGGCCGACCCACGGGGCTCAGCGGAGGCCCCTGGCCTTGATTTTAGGGGTGTATGTGATGCTTGGTTGCTGGGGCCTCCCAGGAGCCCAGACTGAAAAAGCCTTCCCAGGAAGCAGGTAATAAAGTCGCCCACATGCTGGACAGGAGCTGATGCCCCTCAAAGAGCCACTGGCCTTGGCGTGAACAGCTCCAATGCACAGAAGCTGCCCATCGCACAACCCAAGAGTCCCCACACCCGCCCACACACCCCCTCAATCACCGGAGCACAGTGACCGTTTTCACCCCAAAGGGCCCCAGAGCGCCTCTGCAGAGCACACTTCCAGGCCTCTCGCCACTGTGGCCTCCTGCAGAGGCAACTCTTGTCCCCTCTTGTGCGGTACAATCTCAGCCCCGTGAGAGCGGCTACAGCGGCAGCAGGTCTCAGCAGGGCTACTGGGCAGAGGTGCACACTGGGGGGTGAGCTCCTCCCGTGTCGCCGCCACGTGGCGATGGCCCCTGGAGTGGGCAGGACACGGCCCCCATCTGTGAGTCCTGTGTGATCACACGTGGAATGGCCTCCTGAAGAGCCCGGTGCCTGCCTGGCGCATGAGAGGAACTCTCAGGGCCACTGTCCTAAGAGTTAGGAACTCACAGTGCCCCACGCCATGGCGGCGTTAGTGCGCTGGGGTATGAAGGAGTCACAGCCTCCGGTGCATCTTCATGCTTCTGGGTGTGGTCTAACCCTCCGACCGCCAGTGACCTGGGGCCATGGACTGCCATTCAGCATCTCAGGAAACCAAGACTCGGAAAAGCTGATAGACGTGCGTAAGCTTGGGTGGCTGGCAGCAGGCTGCTGAGTGCAGCGGGCACGGGCCCTGCGGGTCCCGGCTCCAGTGCCCGTGCTCCCTCCTGAAGGCCCAACACAGTTCATGAATAGGCTGAGCAAACGCCTAGAAACAAGAAGTTTTGTATAAAGGAGGGATTGCAGTTTCCACTGGAAACTCAGAAAACCTGGCCGCTGGGCCGGCGTTCACGCACTGGTGTCGGGCTGGACGTGAGCAGCGGCCCCCGCTCGGGGGGCTCCCAGAGCTGAGGACACTCCCCCGGCCAGTAGACCGCAGGGTGACACGGCCCCTGCAGCACCCCCTCTCGCTGCCCAGCCACCCAGTGGCCAGCACCGCTGGGCCCTGGCGGCCTCTCCCCACAGCCGGGCCTGCTCCACCTCCCAAAGCGCCCCTTCGTCCCTGTCACACAGTCCACCGTCCTCTTCCTGTCCGGTCCTTCTTAGCCTTCTGATCCAGTGCAGCCCCTCGGCCCTCTTTGGCCTCCTCCCGCTGAGTCAAATGGGGCTTCTTAGCCGGGTAACACAGGTGGGTGTCAGTCAGCAGGGCCCTGGGGATGTTCATTCCCGCCTTCCCCACTGCAAGGATGAGGTCAAGACCACACAGTGCCCAGGCCTGTCCGGGCCACCAACCCCAGCAGCCTCCGATCACACTGCTATCTCGAGTCTCCTGGTCTGCTCACCACTGTCTCTTTTGTTTCAGGGAAGAACACAAGAAGTCCAGAGAACAGGCAAACACCTAAATCCTCAACATCCAGAAATGACGAACACTGACACTTGCCATATTCTCCACAGACACGAACAATTCTGGACACTGTTTACCGGTCGGCGCGACAGCCAAGGTCCCCACCCCGGTCCCCATGTAACTTCCCTTTCTTTCCCAAGGGGCCACATCACGACTTTGCCACATGTCCTTCTGATCCACATTTGTGTAGTGTGTAGATACTTTACACACATGCACACATGCAACACATTCTCACATGCACTCACACGCCCGTTGCATATCCTGAAGTTGAACACGCTCCGTGGTTACTGGCAAGGGTCTAACCCTACACAGGCCTCCGCTCTTTCCCACTGCGGCTGCGTTTCTGAGGCCTGGCCCACCCGCGTGCAGGTGGGGGGTGGGCACATGGTGCTCTGTGAGGGAGACGCCCTCACATTCTTGCTCCCCTCCTGGTGGGCGTTTATGTTACTGCTGCTATTCCACTGTCCCAGTGATGGGGCACCGACCACCTTGTGCATCGCTCCAGGCGCACTAATGAGGCTTTTTTGGGAGTTCATTTGTCCTTTGAATGTGTTCCGGGTCCCTCCTGCAGGGGACCAAGGCCTGGGGCACCTGCACAGCTCCCCGCCGTCCCAGGGTGTTTTTCCTGGATTGTGAGGTCACATTTCCCTCCGTCCCCCACAGAGGCTGGCCCAGGCGCGACCCGATCCCCGTGCCCGCCCCGGGGAGCCCAGCCCGTGGCCTGCTCATCCCACGCCCACTAAGCCTCTCAGTTCCTATTTCCTAATTCCTGTAAGAAATCCCAAACCTGTCTCCTTGGGTAGAAATAAAATAAATGTAATATCTATTGCTATCGCTTAAACACAAATTATAGTATTTTTTATTAAATACTCTGTTGTCAAATTCTTGACATTCCTCATAATAGATTTTTTTTAAAAAGCAACTAAAACTAGTTATTTTCTGTTACCTTAGAGGCTTGCAGCGTAGTTGGTGGTGTATTTACTTGTTATGTTCTGCTTGTCGCATTTCATTATAAGCACGTGAATTATTCTTGCTGTTAAATTAAAATGCGCTCCCCTCCCCCTGCTGCCCTTGAGGCCTGACAAAAGGTGACGGTCTGGCCACGGGGGAGCCAGGAGAGCCGCCTGGTGACCAGGCCTGCAGCCCAGCTGGCCCGGCTGCTGGCTCTGAGGCACCGGCCGTGCACAGGGCTGGCCGTCCCCGCCCCCGGCCTGAGGCCCAGCCCTGCTCTGCTCACCCTGTCTCTGGTCATCCTCACAGCAGCCCACGGGCCCACGTCCCAGGTCAGAAGACGATTCCGAGAGAAGGGACTTTCCAGGGGAGGTCCAGCTGGGGCTCAACCATCCCCGCTGTGCACCAGGTGAGGCCACGCCTCCTTCCCCCCAACAGTGATTTTCAGAAGCAACGAGAGGGAACATCTTCAGCTCCTCGGGGTCACCGTCGCCTTTGACAGTTTGAGGAAACCTACGCCCCCTTCGCAGGAGGAGTGCCCGTCTCACACGAACAATGTCCCCGCTCCGGAGGCTCTCCAGACTCAGCTCCACGTCAGAAGCTGCCGCGGCGAGAGCCAGGATCACCGCCTTCCGTTGCCGAACTCCTCCGAACGAACTGACAGCAGACCCGCCCGGCCTTCGGCGGAGCCGGAGACGGGCCCTGGTAGAGGGTGAGACGCTGGGCGTTCCCGCGCTAGGACAGGAGCCGTTTCCTCTGGGTCCGAGGCGTCTCCCTGGGCAATGACGGCGCATCCCCCAGATACTCCCGCTCTCTGAGCCCCTCCCTCCGTCACGGCACTGAAACCCACGGGTCACTCGTAGCCTCCTCGGTGCAGTGCTGCCGGAAACCCAGGGAGGCCCAGTCTGCTCGTCTGTGAACAGAGAGGAGCCCCGAGGACTGGCGCACAAACAGAAGGGCCTCGTGGGCCCCACACCAACGGTGCCGCATGTCTGTTCCTCCTCCACGCACACGCTTGGCCTGTGGCTCCCGGTCTGGCCCGCCCCTCCGCAACGTTACGGAGAAGGCCCTCAGGAGACCTGCTGTCTGCGCGTCTTTCAGCACCGGCCACTGCACGTTCCAGAAGTCTGGAGCAACACAGCACCTTCCACGGCAGGCTGTGTCCCTAATACGAACTCTCCTCGGAGCAGCACTGACAACACCTGGCAGAGCAGGGAGCAGGGGGCTGCTGAGGCCGCGTTCACGCCAGAGAATCACGCCTCCTAAACGCGGCAGCTGTCTCATCGCGGAGCCACCTGCGGCACCTCTGGAGGGAGACAGAAAAAGAGCGGAACCCAGACCAAAGAATGTGGCCTTCAGGTGTGGATTTCGCTGGGGTCACAAAACTGTCCCCCAGCCTGTGATGATGGAAGTGTCTTCTTCACAAGCCAATGGCATGAGGACATCCAGTGGGTGTGGATGGGAAGCTGGGCCGAGGGAAGGGAGTAGCCAGAGGCCTTCGGGGGACAGACTCCACTCCCTACCTCTGCCTTGCGCGTGTGGGGAACCTGCTGGTTTGGGTTCGGTTTGTTTGCTTTGAGGGATCTCCTCCCCACCTTCCTCGAATCTCCTATAACCCTCGAGTGGTGACTCGAGTCCACCGAGGATAAAAACAGTCAGGAATGCTCACAGCAAAAGGGGGACCAGCAGGGAGAAAGCGAGGAAGAGGGAGACAAGAACGCAGGGAGAGCGCAGAGGTGGGTGAGGAAGAGGAGGAGTGGAGCGAGGGGACAGAGGGGGGCCCCTCAAGTCCTCAACCCCGGGAGGAGCCGGGAAGCCCTGGGGGGGCAGTGTGTTGGACTCGAGGCCACAGACAGGAGGGCTCAGCAGATGGCCTGGGGCGAGCGGCCGCACACGGCACCGTCACCCTCGGCCTCGCCCACCGCACCCCGGTGCGCCAGCCTGGTACGGTCCTACTGGTCCCGAAGCCAGAACCCACCCTTGCTACCCTCCGGGTTCTCACGGCTCTTCTGTCCCAGTCCCGCCTCCGCCTCCCACGCCCCCGTCTGCAGTTCCAATGAGCCTGCTGCCTCTCCGAGGGCAGCTGCGGGGCCGTCCTTCCCGCCCACGGAACCCCGGACAACTGGCAGGGTCTCCCACACGGGGTCGGGGCCCCTCGGAGCCCCTCGGGGCTGACGGACAACCCACCCACTCTGCAGGTGACCTCCTCTGCCCAAGGCCGGCACGGTGCCCCCAGGAACGTGGCACTCTCTTGGAGAATATTCTGGTGCAGATGACGGGCACTACAGGAATGAATAAATCATAAGTCGGCTGGACAGCACTTGGGTAGGTAAATGCATGTGTGTTATTCACTCACCAAAGCCTCCTGAAAAATAATACTCAATATCTCCCTGTGCTGACATATTTCAACTCAATTGATAATGGGTCAGGATTGAGCAAAGCGTAGAGAGTGAATTACCTTCCGGCCGTCCCTTCAAGTTTAGGGTTTCAGTCACCGATGAAATCAATGTGGAAGGGTGGGTCCTTGTTGTCTCGGGCGATGCCTGCAGCAGCTCCTAATGAAATAAACTACTGAGACCTTTTAATCAGAGCACCTGCCTGAAAGGAGGGCGCCGCTGGGAGGAAGTGGGGCCCTGGGGACCCGTCTCCCCTCGCTGGGCAAGGCCTGAGCAGCTCCTTAACTGTAGCAATGATGCATCTACCCTGGACCCAGACGCACAGACAGCAGGAGGTGGCATTCAGGGCGCAGAGTAGGTGTGACCTCAGCTGGGACTGCCCAGGTCTCCGAGCAACACTGCATCACAAGGCGCTGCGGTGGTGCCTCCAGGTCAGGGGCCGGTCCCACTCCCAGACACGTGATAAATCTCTATGGAGAGAGAGCCGTGCGGTAAGGAGGCCCTGCTCTGCACCTGAACTCCAGGCTCAGCGCTGCAGGCGTGGGAGCTGGAGACACAACTGCTGACGATCGTGCCCGTCACCCCTGCTCCCTCTGGAAAGTCAGGTAACATCACTTCAGAAATATCCCAGTATGAGGAAACGAGCTACCATCATCAGCACTGACGTAGCTCTCTGCAAAGATGTCCTTCTGGGACCACCTGTCCACCCGGGACCCGTTCGTGGCCCCTCCAGCACTCATTCCTCCTTCTGGGGAAACCCACCCTCCTCTGCTCTGTGTTGGAGTGCGTCCATCCCTCAGCTCTGCGGTGGGCCGGGGACGCCTGCCTAAACCAGCCAGCGCAGCCCGCACCCTAACAAACTCACACGCCAACCAGAGCACTCAGGACTCGCGCGGGAACTCGGGAGAAAGGCCTGCTTCTCCCTTTTTAATCAAACTCCGGCCTGCAGGATGCTCGTTCACGGCCAGAGGGAAAGTCCATCTGCAAGGGCAGCCCGCACAGGAAGGCTGGGCCGAGGGCTAAGGCTGTGCTCCGGAGCCCACAGTCCCATCTGAGCCTCTGTGTCCTGCCACCACCACTGTCCCCTCCTCAAAACAAGAGCGTTTTAGACTCTTCAGTTTGTGACCAAAAAGTTTCCTGTTTACTTTAGCCATTTAAGTTCGGCTTTTTCGTCTTCCTTTCCTCCTGCCTTCCTTTCTTTTTCCCGCTCTTTTCTTTTTTCTTTTCTTTCCTTCCTTTCTTTCTGTCATGAGCAACCAAAGAATCCTAATGGATTTCCCCTACAAGGAAATAAACCATGAACACTGGGAAATACAGCTTCTAGCAGAGGAGAAAACCCTTCTAGGGCCGCCACAGGGAAGAGGCCCCAGTGCAATCATGCCATTGGTCCGTGAAGCTGCTGTTTTCTAAGGACTGAAAAAGAACTTTTACAAGGAGCCTTGGATTTAAACAAGCCCTAGAAAAGAGCGCAGGACGCACTGGAGAGGAATGCTTCCATGGAAGGCAACATCAAAGGGGCGACCTCAGAGGCGCACGGCCCCTCCACGCCTCCTGTTTCAGATGGACCCCAATGACAAGGAGGAGCTTCTGCCCGGGGAACTCGGGTGAAGCCCCAGTGTGTCTGGGAGGGTTAAGGATGCCTCTCCCACCAGCCGCCACCCCAGAACTTCTCGTGAGAGGCCCTTTGGGTCCCTAGGGTAGAGCTGCTCACGTTGTCTGTAACGGAACCAATGCTCATGACAGATCAGGTCATCGGAGCAAGGCAAGACAATATTTTGGAAGAAGCGAAGGTCAAGCCAACATCTCCTTCCGTCCCTTTGGTCTGTGGGGAGGTCACCTTCGTGTCTAAGCACCGAGAACACCCACACTGGGCCCTCCCTTTGGGCCGAGCAGGGACGCTCAGTGCCACGGGGCACAGGCCCCAAACGGGCAGAGTTCTGCACGGTCTGTGAGCAGGAAGCTGGTGGAGTGCCCACCACCCTTTGTCCTCCACAGTGACAGCTGTTGACCGACTAAATGGAGGTATTATTCGCAGATTAAGTCTGAGAGGCTGGACTGGGGCGGAAAGAGGGTAACGGAGCACCGGGTTCGGCTCCACTCCCAATTATGCCACAAAAGCCTAAACCACCAGGTCAGGGATAAAAGTGAATAAATGTTTCTAAATTCTTATCTTAAACACACTTAAGCTTAAAGCTATTTAACTGGGGCTTTAAAAGCATGTGAGCTTTGTGGAGCCCAGCTACCTGCCTCGTTCTCTTGCTCTTATTTTTGCTTTTATCCTTTTAGTCTTGAAGAAGCCTAATTAGAAGCTTGAACAGGGCTCTCTCTCCCTGCCCTTAAATCAGTAATTGGCTGCAGTGCAGAGACTGTCAGGAAATTAACACATCACAACATGACAGCTGTTAATTTTTTCTCCTTATTTGTCATATGAATCACCGCTGATTTGCCGGAGTGCATAACAAATTAGTGGGCTGTAATCAGCGGCCTCTCTTCTGCGAGCTGCACCTCCTCTTCCTCCCCCTTCCTCTCTCCCTCTAAAGTCCATTACTCCACCGCCTCAGCAGAGGCGACTGTTCCTAGGTGTGTCATTGTCAATAAATCAGAATAAGCAAATGCTAAAAGCGCAAGAAGCTCTTTAAACTTTGATGAAGGCTTTTAGTTACATTTTTAAACTTACACTCATAACCGGAATCTTTTCTTTTTTAAACTGTCACTCCCTGGTGGTGATAGACTGTCAGGCTAGCAGTCACTTCCTCGTCCGTGCCAGCGAAGGTGGAACTGCCAGTGTCACGTGCACGGGTCTGGCCGACGCGGGAGGAGGCGCCTTTGGGGAGGCGTGGAGGGGCGTGTTAGACCGCGCGGGTCGGACCAGAGGCCCTTCCTTTCTGAATCAGGGATTTGGGTGAAGGACTTGGGGAAGTGAGGTGCATGGGGGGGGGGGCAGACAGGGCAGGGGAGGAGCAACGGACTCTGGAAGCTCACGGTCCAAACCTTTCTAACTGGTCTCAGATCCACTGCACACCTGCAAAGGGGAGTGAGCCTCTGTTACCCACCTTTGTGGTGGCAACCGAGACAACCCAGCAGTCATAGGTTCTGGGACTTCCTTCTTCACTCGGCATTTTAGCGGGTCTCAAATGTGATATTTACGGCATCCAGAAGAAAGGGTGTACAGCAAGGGTGATGACAATGTGGCAGCTTCACACTGCGGGTCTGTCCCAGGCTCTAAGATTTGACAAGCAAATCTGGATTCTCTGCATCTACACAGCAGATGCAAAAGGGAGAAAGAGTTTCCGCCTTCACAGCCTGCACCTTGCTGGCCTGGGAAACCCTCATCTTTCCAAGTCGGGTCCCCGGGGGGCTGTGGGCCATCCCGTGGGGCCACAGCCTCCTGGGGCTGTGCGAGCCTCTTTTCCTGGGTACTGTAGACTGGCACCCAGGCTAAGGTGACAGGGTTTCAGAAACAAGTTTCTCCTTTCCTTTCTTCTCACATCCTTCCTTCCGTCCACCCACCCTCCCACCCTCCGTTCTTCCTCCCCCCCTCCTCCCACCCATCCGCCCACTCGCTCCTCCGGTACCAGCAGGGTAGAACAAGCGGGACAGACGAAGAGTAGAGGATGGATCTGTGTCAGGGTAGGACACAGGGAGGAAAGTTGCAGCCCCAGAGAAGTGATCAGACCCAGGGCCCGCTGCCTCCCCTGGGCCACCTGGAGTGGGAGGTGGGGGAAGGGAGAGGCCCTTGCTTCCTCCGCATGGCCACCCGCAGACGGGCTAGTCTGTCCACCATTCTGGTCTCAATCATACTTTTCCCAGCAATGACTCTAGTGACCTTCTTGTGCTGAATTCTAATCCAGCCACTTGAAAACTGGATTTGGCTCATCAAGCACTTTGCTGGGAATATTGTGCATGTGCTAGACGCCACTTTAGGAACTAGAAAATTAGTAAATCGGGGTCCACACTCTTGGCACACGAGCGCTAGTTAGAGAAACAAGGAGTCCTGTGGCAATGTTTAAAGTCTGCTGCTGTCCTTTAATCTCAGTCCCCAGGGATCGGAACACACATCCCGTGGGCCGTTCCTTCCCTCTCCTGAGAGTCAGAGGCCTCGTCCTCCGGCGTCTGCCGGCCGACTGCCCACCATTTGAATTGATGAGGCCATCATGTCTTGCTGCGTGAAAGTCACTGAAATCTTTTGAAAATAGAACAATTGTCCTTTTTTCCTTTTACTAGTGATAATTTATAGACATTCGATATGTTTAAATACAGTTCAATAAGCTCCATCTTATAAAAGTCTCTGCTGAGAAATTTTCTCTTTAATGTCATTTTATGAGCTCAAAGAAAGAATTTTTAAGCAAAATACCAATTTTACAATTACTCTGTCAAATCCTGATTTAAGGGGGGAAATCGTTTACCCATTATGTGATGGAGACCGAGTCTCCCGCAGAGGCTCTGATTGACAGCAGCAGGTTCGAGCCGCACAGACACAGCCATCGGGGACGTTCTACGACCCCACGGTGCGCCAGCCCACCCCGGAGCAGGAGGCCCCTGGGAGGATGGTCCTGAGCCTGGGTCCCTGAGCATCTCCCACACTTAACCAGGACCTGATGAGCGACCAGCCCACTGCTCACTACCAAGCACTGACTTGCCACCGCCTGCTGACTGGCTCAGAACAAGCACACGTGTCCGTGGCTCATGGGAGCCCCCAGGGCACATGCTGACTCCTCCAGACCCTCCCCAGCTCTCCCTGGTCCCCCGTCAGGCAGCCCCAGTTCTTCCACCCCAAGGTGCTACGCCTGCTTCTCCCCAACCACCTCCTTCGGGCTCCTCTCCCTCTGGACTTGTCCTGCGCAAACCGCTCCTCACGTCTCCCTTCTCTCTTCAGCGTCCGGGTTCTGCCACGGTGCAAGCTGTGGTCTCGGGGACGCACTCAGGCACAGGCTTGCCCGGCCCGCCTGTGGGTGCGACTGCTCATCCGCAGGCCACGTGCACACCGCACGCCAGGCTGTGCACCATTGCTGCTGCCACACCGGGAGATGAGCGCCGTCCGCTGTGCTCCCCACCCTGGTCATCCCAGCATTTACCAATTCCCTGGGCACTTTCCTTTCCACCAGGTAACATGAGAACGGGGACAGGATCTTCCCCTGCCCTCCACCCAGTGCTGCCACTGGGGGTCACCTCAGCCTTAACATGGATGACCCATCACCGATGCCTTACCTGCTGATGTCCAGTGACCTGCGTCTCACCCTGCTTCACCCGTATGCTAGAAGCGTCCATTCTCAGGTCTAGGGTCCTGTCCTGTCTCCCTTGAAGATTTCCTAGTTTTATACCTTTTCTTCTACTTACTGGCATTTCTAGGCCCGGGATGCCAACTCTACCCTCCTGCCAGCCACACCGCCTGCCTTTGTTTCCCCATCTCGCCTCCACGCGCTTTCGTTGCCTTCACTTCTCCTCTCTCCATCGTCCACACCCCTCGGGGCAACGCCCCAGCCCCAAGTTGACCCATTTTCCTCCCTCCCTCAGTTCTGCTCTGGGGGGCAGAAGAAAAATCACTGACATCCCGAGCAGAGGCCCCTCCGAGCGCAGGGTCTTCAGGCTCAGCCAAGCCTCCCGCACGACACGCCCCTCCCCTGAGCTCCCCGCACGGCCTTCTCCACGGCAGAAAACCACCCCGGGGAGTGTTCCGCAACTTTCCCCGTGGCTTCCAACCTCCCCCTCCACTCCCCGCCCTCGTGGCGGAGGCGCACCCCCCTGGTGTGGAGGTGGACTCACCGTGTCTCTCCCAGCCCCCCCGCCCTGGTGCTGTGACTTGACGCGTTCACTTTTTTCCCAGATTTCCAACATCCCTTGCTGTCCTCTCTCTCTGTTCCCTCTTTCCTGCAATTCAGCATATTTAAGTCTCTTCCAACTTAATAAAAAAACTCTCTGAAGCCCTACGCACACTCGTGCCCTCACAACCAGCCAAGTTTCTGAGAGCACGGTCCACGCCGGTTCCCGCATCCTGCTCTGCGCACTGTGACCCGCTTCTCCCTCCACCTCGTGAGAACGTGTCCCCCAAAGCCAGTATGTTTGTAAACAAAATGCTCTTATGTTCTTGGTTTCCATGATTTGTCTGTAAACATGGGGGCAGAACCAGTTTTCAAAGGAATCACATCCTTCTGCATTTTTTTTGCTACATTTCTGGCCATCCCTTTCCTAAACTCCTTCAAAAACTTACTTCTCATAGTCTGTCTATAAAATATGTGTTTTAATTGTGATTTTGCTTTTTTTTATCTTTTCACTCTACATACTCCACATGCAAGCTCTGGCTGGAAAATGACTTCAAATGCAAATATTCTGGGCATCTAGTCTCGATGCTCCCTCGTGAGGACCTACAAGGTCAGGCTGCCCCTGCTCTCGCTACCCTCACCTGCTGTCGCTCCTCTTCAGGACCGCCCTGCTCCCACGCCCTCTGCTCTCGCCACGCCCAGTGTCGCGACCCAGGTCCCCACCACCTTCTCCCACTCGGTCAGGACGGCAGCTTCCCTGTTCTGGCCTCCAACACGCCTGATACATCTTCTGCGCTGTCCAGCAAGCACCTTCCTCAAAGCAAACATGACCCCGCAGCTTGTGTGTTCGTCACTGCTGCACCGTCCTGCTGTGCTTGGCGTGTGTTCAGGGACCTCTGCGCCGGGGCTCGCCTGCCTCCCTAGGGGGTGGGTCATCATTTGCCGCCCACAGCACCCGATCTACTCCAGGAACAGTTAACCATTCAGTCCCCTAAAAGTGCTAGGTCTTATCTTACTTCCAGGCCTTTGTCTACATTGTTCTCTGGACCAGGACCCCTTGTCTGCCTGCTCAACCCACTGCAGGCCTAACCGCCACGTGGTTCCTCCGTGCAGTCCCCCGACGCCTGCCTCTGCCTCCCACCTCGCTCCCCAGAGACAGCTGCTCGGTCCCTCTCTGGGCCAGCTCGGCAGCCGGACAGACAGTCCCTCTCACGTGGCAGCTCCTGGGGTGTCCGCTGCCATAGCAGAGGCCCCCTCGCCTGCAGGTTGACGGCGCCCCGTGTCGGGCAGACGCTGTGCACTCAGTCTGGAGCCCGGCCCCGGGCACAGTGCCCTGCATGGGCAGGTCCTCTGGACACACATGCCCGTGGTCAGTGTCCACGGGACAGACCCAGGCAGACCTTCCCTCTTCCTGAATATCTTGGACTCCACAGTCGGAATTTCCTTTACTACCCGAACATCTTTCAGGCTTCAAATACTCTTGGACAGCTGGGTGCACGAAAGTCTCTCCGTCCTTACAGATAGGAAGTTGTGAGAACCCGGGGTTATTTCTCTGTGCAGGAAGCCGGCCAGCTGGTGGTGTCCACCTCCGAGCAGCTGCAGGGTCTGCACAGACCGGGCAGGGCCCCAGGCCCCACCAACACACGTGGACGAACCCACTCTGGCACTCCTGAGCAGGCCTCGCAGTTAGGGCTCTTCTCTGTGCAGCTGTTCTTAAAAACAGAGTCCATGGAGGGAAAAACTGAGAAATGCTTCCCAGACCAGAGCCAAGAGAGCAGGGCTGGGTGAGACAGGCAGCAGAGTTGGGGACCGGCGTCACTTAGAGTCCGTCTGTGCTGGTGAAGCAAAAATCAACAGAGGCACAACGAACCAAACAGGACACAAATGCCGTCAGCCGGGCCGACCCGACCCAGACCACCCACTCTGTGGAATTCCCACGTCACAGCAGACTGGCTGCCCAGGGGGAGGCGGGGCGATGGGGAGCAGGGAGAGAGAAGCTGGG